CAGTGGCCTCCGCGCTGGAGAATGATCCGGTCGGCAAACACATTCGTTAATTTGTTTTGGCCGTGTTACAACGAATTCCGCTTGCTAGGTGCACTTCCAAGAGCTGCACCCGACTAACGCCCGCTCTCGGGCACTTGAACGCAAACACTACACTTCCCAACCTTTGCTCCGTGTACAGACCGTGTCATATATAACCTTATTCAATTATAACTGCAACTAAAAAATATAAAGATATTTTGTTGCTCAACGAAAATCTCAATGATGTGTTTGTGTGAGAGAGAGTGTTGTGACTGTGTCTTATTGCCTGTAATAGATCGAAAATGAAAACTGTAATAATTATTTACGAAATATGTAACGTATTCATCCTTTGCTTACGGACATCAAATCGTACAAAGAGAAATAAGAAAGATTGTAGGAAGATAAAAACCATATGACTCTACAACTATTACCAATGATGCAGCAATCCTGTGGCCAGCGGTGATTATCCCTTCTCCCTTGCGGTCGAGCAAGCAGTATATTTTCTGGAAACTTTTGTTGTTGTTTTTCATCTTGAGATCTACCTCGTGTAAACCGGTTATATTATTTTTAAAAATATTTTAAAATGACCAACCGCCACATGTCATTACTTCTTCAAGAATGCGTTATAATGTTTTTCCGTATATGACATCATTTCGGTCTTTGTATTTGGAAATGTTTAAATAATATCCTTGTGATTTTAATGAATTAATAAACAGACTTAGTAAATATATTCTTATCTTTTAGGATTTTCCGAAATTATTTTTTGGATGAAAGTTCATAAAAATCCACGCAATCACGTTTCGGTCTTTAGAATGTTGCCCGCAGCATTTTTCCAGAATTTATCTTCAGAGTGCAAAAAGACGAACAATGAGAACTGTTGGTTAGTAGAAATAATCTAGTGCTACATGATATATTTACCATTACGGTAAGTGAGATTGAAGAAACCCGAAAAATAAAGTTTATAATTCTGATCTAAAGTATGAAAAATAATTCGTGCCACACAAACAGGGGTGACTGACAGACGAAGGAGTGACTGACTGACAAGCAGACGAGACTGAAGCACGACGCACTTGCTATGGACTGACGAACGATGGACTGACCGACGGGATGACAGGACCGACGGATGAAAGACGACGAATGGACTGACCGACGATGGACTGGACCGACGGTGGACTACCGGACGGATGAATGACCGACGGATGGAATGACCGAACGGAATAGACTGACCGACGGAATGACTGACCGACGGATGACTGCCCGACGGATGACTGACCGACGGATGGATCTGACCGAACGGCAATGAACTGACGACGGATGGGGAACTGACGAGGATGACTGACCGACGGATGGACTGACCGACGGATGACTGACGACATGCGACTGACCCGACGATGACTGACCGACGAATGGACTGGACCGACGGATGGAATGACCGACGGATGACTGACCGACGGATGGACTGACCACGATGACTGAACCGACGGATGACTGACGACGGATGGACTGACCACGGATGGACTGACTGACGAAAGAATGAGGTGGCTCGGGGATGAACAGACGTAGTAGACACGTGGACATGGAGCAGGACGTGTAAAGCGGAGAAAAACACCGAGTAAGCGAGCCCATCAGTGAATTTGGTGCGAGTATTCTTCACGTTGTCTCTTTGCGAACCACTGTCCCAGTGCCATATTAGACTAGGAAATCCCGGGGCCCCCTCCCCCACGGCCACTTTACGCGAGTCCAGGCTCGTTCGTACCCTAAGTCCCTGCTCTATCCCTTGGCGGTAGGTGGAAATGAAAGACCAACCGCCCGATGCATTTGGAGCAACAACCTGCTCAATAGTTTTCACAATCGACAGGCTGAATCAGACCTTCAGAGAGCGTTTAGATTTTTGGAAAAAGGTCATCGTAGCTTAAATTCTATTTTAAAAAGGCGTCAAATGCCGTTTACAAATCAAAAATCGGACCATTGATTCAGACGTTATCAGTAAAGTAAATTCCTCTGTGATAGTGCTACGATCTATTGAATTTTCCTACAAGTATTTTTCGGTGCATTTAGCCTTAATATAAGTGTAGGACATGTTCGAAAGTTTTTAGAACTATTGCTCTATTTGAGCAAAACATTTACTGAAAAAAAATCCAGTTCCTTTCCAGAAAATGCGACAAGAGCTTCGTGTAAGGTATTTTAAAAATTGAAATATGTTAATGAGCGCATGAACGACACAACTAGATCTTACACTCTTGTCATGTTACCTAAGTTTGGTCTCAAAAGTTTCAAATATGACCGCATTATGCTCAACACACACTATCACACACAAACATCCTGATTTCGGGTACGGATGTATCTCATCGCCACCTGGATCAATCATAACAATCTTTGGAAAAACTAATGACCTTAATTCTGGCTAGTGAGCGAAGTTACAGCTCAAAAATTTAAAATACGGATTTTACGACCGAAAATCGAGATTGTACTCTTAAGTTAATTCCGTACTACAATATGGGGAGGAAAAGTAAAAACGTGTTCACACCGTGGTGCTTCAGAATGGCACAGACTTTCTCACACTCGTCATTTTTCTAATCTCATCAGACTAAGCTAGATTTTCGGTACTGCCGCTCCTTCCCAGCTACTAGCTATCGGCCGCTAAAAGAAAAAGTTGGGCTCATTGCAAAATTTTTGGGTTTTTGAGAAACTTTGTAAGATAACATTTCAAGCTCTGGCATTCACAAATGCAATATTGTACAAAAACGCCCGTAATGTACATTTTTACGAAGTGAGATAAGCATATTATATCCGTTTATGCGTGTTATATGATTATTCAATACATTTAGCACTATCTGTACAAAAATATTAAAGAACAAAATTGAAGCTGTTTTTTGGGGAAACGTTTCTAAAATTGCTTCTATTTCACACAAAATTACGAGAAAAATACTCATTTTGAAAAAAAGTACAAGAGCTCATTTCAAATTCTAATTTTGAAGAACATATTTTATTTGAAGAAAAAATGTTCATCTTCAATATTGAGTTGTAAGAAGGCACTGGAAATGTTAAACTTTTGTAATTATCAAAAATTCAGAAAATGCAATGAAAATTGGAGTTGCAGAACTTTTTTCTTCCATCCGATAAAACATTTAATCCAAAAATTTGGGGCCAATTTTGGCAACAAAAAAAAAAAGAAGATGAAAATGTCCTTGAGGCATCATGAAAGGGTAGTATTCCCAAAATGAAAATATGTTTAAAATCCAAGGGGTCACGCCACCATCTACATCGATCGGGGAATATCAATTTTGGTGAAAGACCTTCTTGGAGTTCAGCCACTTCGCTGTTCAGACGGACGAACAGACCGTTTGCCGTAAACCAAATTTTCGGTATCAAGGACCAACGTAACGTGGATTCTGATAACAAAACGTGTTAGAGAAAATAATTTACTATATATTCTAACCAGAATTATCCACTTTTTCGCTATTGTGGATCTTAAAATAAATTTTTCTGCCGAAAATGACAGTGTTTCGCTGTAGCATTCTTTCAACTTTCTCTGTACTAGGTAAGTAGTATGAGAGAAAGTAGAAATCATTGAAGATAGGACATTAATCTTTTGTTGTTTTTTTCTGAAATTATTCAACTTCTTAACTTTCTATTTACATCAACTGATTCCATCAACTAACATCGAGTCAGTTCAAATGGTTTGCAAATATGAGAGCATGCACTCACCGTCCCTTTGAGGCGGCGGCGGCGGCTTCCCTGCGGGCGGGCTGAGGAGCGGCGCGTCTCCCTCCAGCAACCGCTCCGCGCACTCGTCTTGCTCCTCTTGCTGGTCGGCCACTTCCGACCCGTCCCCGTCACCGTCGCCGTCGCCAGCGCTCTCTCGGGCCTCGTCTCCTTCGCTCAACATCTCATCGCCACTGGGCTCCTCCACTTTCACCTCCACCTCCTTGAACGCACCCTCCGCCTCCACACATTCGCCTGAATCCCGCAAGGGGTCCTTCTCGCGCTCGCTTTTATTGAACGACGACTCGCTTGGCGCTGACGGGACGATGCAACTGCTAAAACGTCGAGGCAACGTTTTCCGTCTCTTCGTAGCAGACGGCGAGGAGGGCTGGGTTAAGCTCTGTCCACTCACACTTGAAAATCGGGGTGACAATTGTGCACAAGAATTACTACTAAGCAGTTGAAACGTAGCTGCATTGGCAGGAAGAGGAGCGGCTAAAGTAGCCGTCTGGTCTGGATTCAGCACCGAATACAACGTGCCCGGCTGCCCGTTTGAAGTGAAGAAAAGAGCAGGCACCGGCAGAACTTGATGGGCCGACTTGGCCGGCAGTTCTCCGTCGGCGTCGTGGCTGGCCGAGTCCTTGGGCGGGGGGGACACGAGGGGGCTCCTGGCGGCCCTCGCGGCGGGAGGGGGCGGGGGCGGTGGCGTCTCCCTGCGCAGGGCCGCACTCGGGGGCGGAGCGCCGATCTTCTTCGCCAGCGCTGGCGGCTGCGGCGGCACCGGCTGCAAGCACAGAGACATTGCCTTCAGGCGGAAGCGCCTTGCGTCGCGCGGCTCCACCCTCTCCCTCCCAACACCGCCCAGCCCCGCCTCGCTTGGCGAATCGTTTACTACGATTCTATCATCGCTGCTACAGGTAAATAAGCGGGTCTGTTTTTCCACACTCCCCACCAAATTCCAGTAACAATTTTGACCTTTAATCAATCGAAGCTTAAATGCGCTTTCGGAATCAATAAATAATATTAAATATATTTTACAGGCTAACGATTTTTTTAATTTACCGTGTATTTCCTAGCCTATTTTGAAATAGTCTCGAATAACTGAAACCATACACACTAACATTTACTTGACATAAATTGAAATGGAAATGTTTTTACGAAATCGCATGTTGACAATAACTTATAACGCATTTCAAAGGCATTATGCACAAATTTTCTTTAAAGACATAATTAAACTGTAGATTAATTTGTGTACGCGTCCGACAGCAATTTGGGCAGCGGTCGGCAGAGCACAACGTTGTCATGCTGCATCCAGGCGACCCAGCTCAATACCTTCTATTACTACTTGTAAGCCTAGATCCATGACCAGCATATTTCTAAGAGGCCGTCCATAAATTACGTAACGCAAATTTGGAGTATTTTGAATACTCCCTCTCCCCCTGCAACGCTCCCGTAACGCGCGATTGACCCCGACCCTAAAACATTACGTAACGCTTACCACAACACCCCCCTTGCAAATGCATGAAGTAAAAATCAATTATAGCTCAGTAAAAAAATTGTATTCATTTTTGTGTGTGTTATGTATGATAACGCGAGAATTAGTTGTCGATGCTGCCACCACCTAACAATAAGACTGAGGGCAAATTTTAAGTGAACGCGCAGGCAAGAAATTCTTTTATCACAAGCCGTGGACACGCCGCCGATGTTGAGAGCGAATCAGCGAGAGTCTACTGCGCCAAATTAATTGTATTCTACAAAATACTACAAATCAGTTTTGAATAATTTCTTCGTAATCTTACAGATTCAAAAGAAAATTGATCGAAAAATATTTATATTTATTGTAACGACTAACAACTTTAAATTATTTGTTTTAAATTAATTAGATAATACTTTAATGTTTTAGTATAGACTCAAAAAAGCAAGTATTTCAACAAATGTAAAAAAAAAAAAAAAATGTTACATAACACTAATCGAACACCCAAGTCTTTCTGCACTAGCCAACTTTGAAAATATTCTTCCGTCTCGACTACATATAAAATTAGGCTTTTTTCAAATGTTGTTAAAGCAATGCATAAAAAAAAGTAATGGGTTTCAGTACTTCCAAAGGCCCAAAGGCATCTCTCAAGGAAGTAGTACTAAACTAATGGAAGAAATTTATTGTGAGTAGTTCATCACAGATGGAAGTTTGAAGAAACTCTAGGGGAGTTTGAAACTGCAGAGGATAGATCATTGAAAGTAACTTTTGGGGTACCTTCAAACCTCAAATTACTCTGAGAATGAGGATGAATTCTTGCAATCATACAAAAATATGGTGTGCAGTCTTTCAAAAAAATAATTTCTTGGTTTTCCACCCACATTTCTTCTGGAAAAATCTAGGAATAGTTTCTGACATACACAAGGAACATTTCTTTAATAAAACTCTTGTCAAAGAGAAGAGGTATTAGTGACAATAGAGTGAAAATGTGCTGACACATTAACATGTCAAATTCCATGCACAGAAGAATAAATCTACTGTAACTTTCAGGCGAGTCCACTACTAGCATGCTTTTAGTTAATCTGAGCTTCTTTAAGGTTTGCTTTCAAAGTTTACCAAGGTGTAACAAAAAAACAGTGGATGAATCTGAGAAACTTTTCCTATTTGATTTCGGTGCAAACAGTTCTACTACAAACATATATTTTCCTTTTTGAGTCAGAAAACAAGTTACTTTTGTTTCCCAGTTAATTGTTCCCTAATTGAACTTGAAAAATCCCCATGATTTCTAGGTTTTCCAGTTGTGTACAATTACAGATTGGAAGGCAAGTTCGGGTAATGGCCATACCTCTACTACCTTCTCCCTGACGTTGAAGAAATCATGTTTTGTTGTGAACTTAGCATCCCACACAAGTGGTATGTTCTAAAACAACTGCCTGTCACACTCTTGTCTGTTTTACATATGAGAAACATTCATCATGATATTTTGCACTATTATGTTCACTTACAACTACCAAATCAATCTTCTGTAACTGTTGGTAACAACACTATTGCACTATTTGCACTATTATGTTCACTTACAACTACCAAATCAATCTCCTTCTGTAACTGTTGGTAACAACACTTTCCAGTTTACTTGAACTGTTGTTACCCAAAACACTTCGAGAAATGTAGAAAAAGTTTTTAAACTGGCAGTTGGGAAAACAAATTCAACCCTAGTTTTGGGGGTATAGCCCAGATGTCACATTAGATCATGGCTGAGTGGGGTAACTAGCCCATACCCTCAAGAAAACTGCGTCAAAGTAGGACCCACTTACCCTGTGGGTTGAAAAAACCTGCATAATAGTGAATGCACAATGTAAATTATCTTCAAATGAAAAACCTGCATGCTTATTACTTGTTTACTTACTTATTTTCCAACAAAGCCAAGAAATAAATCGAAATGCCCAATAAAAGGAGCTGATCAGGGATCGTACTCACAGGAGGATCTTGCGCAGGCAGTTGAAGATGTCAAAAACAGAAACTAAAACCTTCAAACTATTTCTTTGCACTGCAGAATTCCTCTGCCACTACATGAATGAGACATGATATGTGAGATTTGTTTCCTAGAATTGGGATGGATATGGGAGGGGAAAGAAGACATCAACGTCTACTTACTTTTGAGGACCTATTAGCAAATTGTCATCAAATCATGGGTAAGTGGGAGTCTCCCAGTGACCTCTCAAGAGAGGGTTATTGATGTACTACAATGTTTTGTGAAAGTAAATTATGTATAAACTTATACATAATATACCAAGTTTAGGGATGGAAAACCTGGACCAGAATGGCTCATTAATTTCTGAAACTTTCTGTAAAGAAACATCAGGGAGTGAAGTACTTTTCTGTACTTTTTTTTTCTCACAATCATGAATAGACAAAGAATAGGCCTAGATACCGTGTAGAAATTACCAAAGTATTATAAGGATATTTAGGGGGTGGTTTCAGTTACTCCAGGGAACAGGATAACTGGGTCTGCACACAGTGAAATATAAATTACAAAAAGCACATTATTCTGTTTATATTGAAAAACAAATAATTTTTAAATTGCAAACAACTTTTGTAAACAGTTTTTGGCAAATTATACTTTAAACTTTTTGTGCATGTAAAAAAAATTGAAGAAAAATCAATTTTAACAGAACAGAAAGTTAAGCCAGTTACCCTAACATACCTTACAAATAAATGTAGTCCTGTTGATTATTTCTTTTAGGAGAGTTCCTAATTGCTCTAGCACAACACAACATATTTTAAAGGTAGCAAGATACATCACTGCTCTATAGAAAAATATGGTTCTTATTGAGATCATATCGAACAAAGAATAATGAAAGTCACCTCAAACGTCCATTAGTTTAAACCTTTATGTGATGTGTTACATGAGGAGTTGACTCAAATAATGATGATTCATTCAATAAAAATTATTGTAATATTTTTATCGAAGTTCACATAACAAGAATAGTGTGCAGTGAAGTAACTCTGTCTGATGAATATCTAGATCCTGAAACTAGAAACCAGCCTAACTTCTGCCAGTTTGCATACACATTGGTCACAACTCTATTTCTAAAATTATATTTTTAATATCAATTACAAAACACAAATTTTTATGTATTCCTGAAAATGTGGACATGATTTTCCAAAACAATTTACACTTTTTAGTAAGGCTTGCAGAATAATAAATAATTTTCAAAGAAAGTTCAGACACAGTCAAGTGACACTAATTTTAGAAGTTTTCAGGAAATTATTGGACAATTAACACTGTTCAATACTGAAATCATTTATAGAGAATAATATCCCCCAAATTAAGATATGTTATAACATTTTCAATGTTACAGGCAGTGCCCTGGATAGCTACTTACAAAATCTTTTAAGGGATTTCCAGCACCAGTCAAGCCCCTCACTTGCAGTAACTCAGCAGTATGCAGAAAAGATGCTAATCTATCTTGGGTGATATACACTTCTCCATGGTACATGAAACTTAGTAAAGCTGTAACATCTTCGTATTTCACATCTTTTAATATTACAACTGGATGCTGACAGGGATTTTCCTTGAACATACAGAACAAAATTTACTCTTCACATGCCAAACAATTTAGAAGAATCGCTCAAATACACACAAATACTTGCTTACTTTGAACACATTGCGAAAGTATGGACTACAAGCTGCCAGAATTACTTTATGAGCTTTAACATTTTGACCTTCACATGTCAAAGTCACATCAACCAAATCTTCATCATTTTTTAAACTTTCCAAAGCACTAGTAATGTTAACTTGGAAATTATTCCAACGAAGACAAAATTGATCAGTAGCCATTTCTAACCTATAAATTCCATGTACACTTGCCAAACACTAAATTAAAAACTAAATAAGTTTGTCTGGATAATAAAAAAAATGTTCTTCACACTCACACAATGACCGTTTTTATTCACTAAAGAAAACACAGTCACATTTGAAACATATTTTTAAAAACAAATATATCGAAGACACAAACATATAAATATAGAAGAATACTAGGAAGCAGATCTTCCTATCTGTTCCAATACGTCCTGAAGAATCACTTCTCTCTACATACTACACCGATATTACTGGCAATTATTCTTTCTATTACATGTAATTATACATCAAAAGGCAGCGCGAAAGTGTCCTGCTGCTGGAGGCCGCCATATTAAATATATCGTAAGTTTTGGAGCGGATTTCAGCGGGAGGTTTAAAATACGGATATGTTTGTACAAAATGTTGAAGGTATATAAAACATTTGTGTGCGGTAATATTCTTTCAAAGAATCAATGAACTAATTATTTTCGGTTCGTATTGTTCATGCCTCAATTCTAATTTTACAGCCAAAACAATTTTATAACCAACGCAGTTTTACAACCAAAGTATTTTGATATCAAGTGGTCTGCGACAGATCCAACTTTCGAACCTCGTCCTGGTTCACGGTACGGTAAATTACGGTAATTTAACCGTATAACATGTTAAATTACCATAATTGAAATAAATAAAAAACAGTAAATATTTTATTGCATACATTATGTATATTTTTTAATTCATTGCGTCTTTTCTCGGTTAATAATAATCAAATAATAATAATAATAATACATAATCAAAGAAGTCACTTGAATTTTTGTTTGCCCAAAAATAGTTGAGATATGATTGACTTCGACTGAACTCAAGTGATCAAAACGTGCAACTTTTAATTAATTAAAAAAACAATTGAACCGCGATCACTTCAAAGTCAATACGTTATATGTGATTTTAAGTAACTTAATTTGCGAGTTAACTTGAGGAAACGAAGCATACAAAAATATCAGTGGAAAGTGCTTCATAATTTTAGATATGAAATATGAATGCAAGCAATGTACAAGAAAAATCACACTTGTTGCAAGACTTCTTCGACTCGACGGATTTAGAAGGCACATTGTGATTTGAAATGTTACTCTGTCAAGCCCATTGCGCTGAGAAAAATATTGAAAATTTGTCTCCAATGGAATCGATAAGGGTTCTTCGTTAAAATGATTTGTGAATGGTGTATCCCAATGCTTATATTGCACACCGAATGATTGTATGCATACTGAGAAGTAATTGCAGCGCAGAAAGATCTTTTTTATGTTTGAAACGAGAGAAGAACTATCTCAGATCAAAAATGACCAAAAATCGATTAAATGTGTTCGCTTTGTTGGCAATATATTCCGAAATTTTAAAATCAAGAAACTGTGATGACATCGACTAGTTTGCTGTCCTATCAGCCAGACGCCAGAGATTTGAGTTTATTTTATGTATTTTTTTCATTTTATTACAAAAAGGTGTTACTATTAATTGTATAAATACTTCAGGAATTACTGGAAATTTTATTGCCTTTATTAAAATGTCAAAGAATAGAGAAAAAGGCGGCACTGATTGTCGTGCCTAGGGGCTCCCCATGTGTAAATCCGCCACTGCCTGCAACGACAGATATTTACATTGTGTCCTTCCACAAAAGGCGCACGCCATCTTCACTCGTGTAGGAGACCTGCACTGGTTCGCCTCCGATCTACAGAAGTTTGAGGGTTCGCTACAGGATCTGGCGGCCAAATTCGAAAACCAGTTTGGCCTCATCTACAAGTACTTACATAACACCTCTCTCGCCCTCCACAGCAACTATGAAATATTATCACAGATCCATCAGTCTCTGAAGATTCTAAACTCCACCGATGCCACGTTCCATCAACTGCAATCAGAAATCTGTGACATCGAAATCGTAACGAATATTTTAACCCTTTTACCCCTACCTTTGTGGTGTTGCAGACATGATCATTTCTCTGAGCTCCAAAGCGGTATGGAAAAAATCATTCTAGGAATGAGAACTGCGGAGGCTCTCTTGTTCCCGCATCTTTTAGCCGAAGGAGTGTTTTGAACACACAGTGTCCTTTCACATCATAATACCCATTCAACATAGAACCTCATTCAAACGCGAGTATTACAGACTTGAGTAGATCCGCAAACTGACACTCTTCTTTCCATCGTTCGCAAAAGCTCCACCTTTCTGAACCACACGCACCCTTTCCCTACACACACAGGTCATGCAAATCGTACCAAGTCAGCAGATGAATCTAGATTTCTGGTTCATCGGAACCATTTTGAACGTAGCTGCACCGAATGCCAAAAACATCCTTTTCTTAACTTCGATATAATTGTAGAGATTTCTGTTATGTTGCAGCTTATTTGAATACACAGACTCTTGTGTTTTCAACTCACCGTGCCTCTCATGGTCAGACAGTAGGTACGTGGCACTTCTAATATCATCCAACGCCAATAACCGTATCCTGACTTTCCAAATCTGATTCCACCAGAGTCCACTTCGCTCTCCACTCAAGGAATTCTTACTTCCCAGCCCTGTAATCAGCTGCTTGCCAACATTGTTCTCTATCGCCAACCAGAGTAACTGTTCTATTCACGCCACGTTCACTACGGTTCCTTGTTCTGCGTCTGTTGGAGCACTGCCTTCATTTAACACTCCCAACCTCGTTATTTACGCAAACATGAGTGTTTTGCTTCTCCTGTCCAAAATAAGATTACATTTCTCTCTGCTGAACATTACAGAACGCCAGGTGGGCGTACTGCAGACATCCGGATTGTCCACTTAATCAATTGTTATCACTGCCTTCATAATCCATCTAGGATGAGCTCGGGCACAAAAAAAAAAAAAAAAAAAAAAAAAAAAAAAAAAAAAAAAAAAAAGAACGACGAATTATTTTCAAAATTCATTCCTTCATACCGAAAAATCGATTGGCGGCCAAACGTCTGTCTATCCGTCTGTGCACAACGCTGACACATAAACCGTTCAGCCGATTTTCTCGAAAATAGATATTCCCCAATCCTTCTGGTTGGTGTCACCGGCACTGAAATTTGAAGCCAATATTTTAATTTTGGGTGTACTCTACAAGCTCCTCGCACATTTTCAAAAATTTTAAAAAAATGCTCCAACTTTTTAAATTAAATTTTGTTGTCAGATTGTGCGAAGGACGTTTAAGAGAAATGCACAGGTCTATTTTCGTTAATATCCTCGATTTTTCGAAAACTGCAAAAAAATATTTAAAATTGACTATAAAATTGAAGATATCGGTTTTTGCTTCGGGCGAAGTCTATTGAACTGAATTAACTCTTTAAAAAAGGTCATGTGCAATTTTTTGTAAAAGTTGGTAGTTTTCGCGTAATTTGCGCTAAAATTCACGCAAAAACCTAATTTTTTTCTTTAAATTTTTTCCACTTATATAATAAGAGACTTAAAAATCTGGCGTAAGTTCCATTTTCAGGTATTGCTCAGTTTTTCGAAAATAAATTTCAAAACTACAAAATTAAAGATATTTTTGCCCCAGGCAAACTCTTTTGTACAAAATTAGTTATTTAAAAGGGACATTTTTATTTAAAAAACAGATAGTTTTTGCATAACCACTTTTCTACAATTTCTATTCTCAATGTATTGATGTATTTCTTTCAAATAATCCGCAAATCTACATTGAAATTTGTGCAAGAATGCCGCAATTGATATTTGAGAAACTCATTGAACGAAGAGATGGTGGCGGTGATAAGATAGAAGAGATGGTGGCAGTGATAAGATAGAGCTGTTATTTAATTAAGCTTGTTTCCTAATTAACCTTTTAGAAATTATTTGAAACCTATTTGACATATTTTTGTCGCATTTTTTCTCATGCCCTAAGAGAAACAGTCCTGACAATAGCATGATTTTTACAGCAAAACTCCTAGACCAAGAGCCTGTACTTCTATTTGCGATGGGTTTGGCAGCAGTTTTTAAAAATTGCTCAAAAAGTCCAGTGATGAATGTTACATTTAAAATCATGCGATTCATAAAAAAAATTATTGCGTTTTGAAAAAGAATGTACATTAACCATATAACTTCAAGGAAACCTATGACCATGCAAGTATATCCATGTCTGTACTAATTTAAACTTCTTTTATTGAAAAATTTGGCCTAAGGTTTAAAGAAATAGTCAAACTACCAATTTCAGAATTAAACATGAAAGGAAAACAAATTTAAGCAATAACTAGTTAGTCAATTCAGATGGATATCTTAAGACTTTGAAATACTGCTGAAATGATAATGGTCCTGTCTCATACTGACAGGAATGTGTGTTTTATAAGCATTCAAAGACATCTTATCTTACTAATTTTTGCAGACCGGCCCCCGCATCCTACACTCCATATTGACTAACCCAAATAACAGGTCCTGTCCCTCCTTCTCTACAACATTGGGGTTCAGAACTCTCCAAATTGCACTTGGACTGTACATTGCTCTTCTATACCCTATGGTGCTTCCAATGCAATTTGATTTTCCTCTCTTTAAACATTCCTCATGTGATTATTCCTTCCTTCTTCACAGGATGGGATACGAAACATTTTTGGAAAGATGAGCAGAGGTCCTTTAGAAAGCACATGCCTTGTGAATTGCTCTTTTTACAATTACCGCCTTCTTTGAATTAATTTGATAGTTTTTACAATATTTTGAGTTATTCTTTCAAATACCTATTTAGTATTTCCTATCTTAGTTGCTCATCTTACTAACTTATTATTACTGTTCCTGTACAAGAAAATAAACTGTATTTAATATAACATGAAATGGAATAGTAATTTTAAAATAAATTCTAGGTTCAAGGAGACCATGCCACCCCCACCCTCACAAGTAATACACCACTACTCAGACAAGGTTAGGGAGAAAGGGGAATATAAAATGTTAGATAAATAACAAAAGCTCAAGAACATGAGATTAACAAATATAGGTTTCATTTCTGAATATCAAATGTACAAAAATACAGACTTTGTTCATATACAGAAACTACTAAAAAAGAAAAACAGCTAATGTTGTAAACATTATTTTATAATACACACTTTTAAAATTATGACTCTATGCCTGTCTACTTGAATAATTCCACTGGCTTCTGAAATCTCAACATGAATAAATTAAAGTAGGATAATAGTTCTTTTACTTGGATGACAATTGGAGAATATCTTTATGAATATTGCACTTCAAAAGACGAAATACAATTGAACCTGCATTCCCCAACAAAACATTTGTCAAAAAGGAGCATGTATCAAAGGGACTTTGGCAAGCAGATTTTGTTAGCGAAATTGCTTAACTACGCTCCATGAAGTCACAGAAGTTAAGCAACTTACGACACCAAGCACACCTGGTTGGGAAAATTTCGGACAACCCCGGTTACTAACGACGCCGAGTCCCTCGCCAAAGAAATAAAAGCTATTGACTGACAGCGACTTAACGAGACAACAAAAACTTTATTGAAGATTACTCCAGAGATTACACACTCAATACCCAAGAAGGGCTAAAGCACATATTGCAAAAATGACTCAACAAATTAAGAGAAAAAACATGTTTCCAGAGTAAGGAAGCATAGTTAGTAGAGATCATGAGTATGTTGCAGAATGGGGAAGGAAATGTGTTGAAAGAGAAATTCGTGTGTTATCTTAGATAAGTGATTCTTATTGATCCTGTTTGAGATAACCTAACAATGTAGCCCAATGTAGGAAGATACTGAATCAGCAGTCATATCCAACACTTTTCCACCTTCCATTAGTTGTGATTCACACTCACTACATATGACCCCTTAAACGAGGCCAATCTATGAAATGTGCTTGGATGCTGTCCTCTATTGGACGGCAACTTAAAAGTTAGAATATTTATATCTTATGGAAGAACAAATCAGGTCCATGTAAAAATGAAGGTCCATCACTTAAATGAGATGGCCATTTGAGCTGGTTTCACTCTATATTAAATAATAAAACTGCCATTAATACTATGGAATTTGTACCTGCAGCCATTAACAACCATATAGCAACATACATAGGAAATGAAGTGAATAATGAAGCTGTTTTCAATAATTGAAATTCATTTAATTTTAAGCTTATTTCTAAGACAACTGGTTAAACCTGTGTTCAAAAAATGTTATAAGACTGTACAGTATTTAAAGATCTTCTTTCCTTTTGTGTTTCTGGGCTGAACTGGATTCCTCCTTATCACGTTGGCCCTGTCAAAAGAATTATAGATATAAAACAAGTGAAATATAGGGGAAATAAGATTCAAAATTATATAAACACATCTTCAAACATAATAAATATAAATTAATTTTAGAATAAGTCACAAATGAGGAAGAAAACCAAAAGAAAGATTTAGATGACAAAAATGATTTTTTAGGAATATTAATATCAATTATTTCACTAATAATACTGTAAAAGAAAAAAGATATAGGTTCATTTTCAATAAATTCTCAAGACCCTTTTTAACGTGTCAATAATATTACAATAATTTGCAATAAAATGACAAGTATTGATATTGAAATCAAAGGTGGACAGAAATTTACAATTAAGATTTAGTCTCACATTCCAAACGTGGGTGAAGTGAATCAATGTTAATTAATGGATCAAATAATAAGTAAGATGAGATAGAATTTATTGTAGAAAAGCACTAATCAAATCAATTATTAGACTTATTTACTTACTTTTTATTTACTTTATTATTTGACTTACTTTAATACAAGTGCAGTGAACAAAATGCATCTGAAATACGCATTACCACAAACAGAAGAAAATGCATTATTATGTGTCTGTACAATTACACCTTGTTTATTATTTGACCACACCAATTCTGCGAGATTATAAGCAACTGTAGCTTGTTTAAGATCATCTAAAAGATGATCTAGAAGATGTTTCGATATCAATTGTGAGTTTATAGTAAACATCAATGAGAGTTTTAGGATATAAATGAACTGCACCAATTATGTTTTTGTTGCCAAAACTCACAGAGCGAACTGCACAAAAGGACGCCATCAGCATTATCCATAAATAATTAAAAAGTGACAAGATTTTTATCAACTCTGATACAGGCACTCATCCCTTGACATTACACTAGATAATGAACTACAAACCCTTCTCTAAATATCATAGTTAAATTCAGTTCAACATCACAAAATGTCTGTGCTGATCTCATTTTTGTAAAGATAACCAAGAAGTAACCAATGACCCTCAATAGTTTTGGTTCAAAGATCCCTCACATTTTGATAGTGGATACTTATTGAGTGGCAGGGATTGGTTTCTCCACAAATTTTTAATGTTGATAAGCTCGATCAATTATCTTTGGAATCCCACTGATTTTCTTTACTACTCAATTGTTTTTACAGAAGTACCCTCTTTACAATTAAGACATTCCACTTCAGATATCAGTTACTACAAATGATTTTCCTTTTGGATCGTCCTATCAAATGAAAATTGAACAACATGGATGCAAAGATACACCCATGTCAAAATGTTTGTTACCACTGATGGATTAGTAAAAGAAACCCTAAATTCTAATAAGCAAGGTGTGTGATATTTTGCTGCCAAGGCAGCCTTGTGCAGCAGTTACCTGTCATGCCTTGCTTATTTATTATAATCTTTATGACACATACTGCATATTGCTTACTACCCCTGACCACTAGAATCCCAGAAAAACCCCCTAACTACCGCCTAGTCCCTCCACTGTGGAGATCCTCCTTTCCTGAACAGTATGAAGTGCTCGTTTAAATGACTTCCTTACATTATATAATGTTCTTTAACTTAGCCTTCAAAGATATTAATCTAAGCCATTTGTAAACACAATCATTCATGATACTTGCTCTAATATGACTGTCAGACTGCAGTTTTACCATTTTTTATCAAAGATATCACACCCATTGCACTAAACGAAACACACTATACTACAATAGACACAATCCATCTTCAGCAGCAGGTTTTTGTTAATTTGACTTCTTTACCTAGCAAATATATGGTTAAGCTACCCTAGTTGTAGTTCCCAGTTGAATTTATGGTGGGCAAAGTGGGTTTATGTCTGGTTTTCTCAGAATGCTTCTGTTTTCCAAGACAACATGCATTTTACCACTATGCTTCATCAATCACACCTTATTTATCATTAACTGTCATTCTGCTGAAGATCAAAGGATCACACCAGCATCTAGACAATAACTGAGAAATTAGTGGTGAGAAGGGCCATAGCCAACAAGCTACGTCAGCCAACTTCTGGTAGGTAGGGTCCCAGCATGGTGAACTAGCGAGAAAAAGAGAGGAAACGGTGAGGGATTAGGGGGATGTCCCCTCAGAACACCCTAATTACGGTTGATAAGGAGTGTAAGTAATGCCCGGTATGGCAAAAGATACAGCTTCATTGACGCCGATTCCAAGAGAAAAAACAGTTTGGATTTTAAATAAGTTGAGTTACAAAACAATAATTTTGTAGAAGTTAGTTCCTTACTTTATTGGATCCTTTTCCAAAGTATGTTTTGCTTTCTAAAGTTAATTCTTTGCAGTTCTCCTGGTCCACTAAGAAATCTTTGGCTTCCCAAGCCTGCGCTCCATCTTTGAAGAGAAAAATTGCTCTGTCATCATCAACCAAATATCTGGAACACAAAACTTATGTTACACACAGTTTTCTATCAAGACAAATTGATCATTTCTAAACAAAAGTCACCTTTCAGCTTGTATATGATTATTCCATAAACTTGACTGCCAAAGTTTGGTGACAGTTTCAGTTTCATCTTTAGACGGATTGCCAGCTACACTTACAAACATCATAACAGTACGACCCTTCTTTGTAAGTTTCAACAAGTTTTCTGGATTACTGGAATCAATCTGTAAACATGTTTCTGTTTGATTAAACTCAACATTTCATATTCTTACTATAAAGTTTAAAAACTTAGGAGCTACCTGAGAAAAATCCACCTTCGGCTGTGGTCTCAAATGTTCAGGTAATTCATCTGGTTCCAGTGGTTCATCGTCTTCCTAAAATGATGCAATGTTATTGATAGGTATATTACACTCTATGGTTTCCACTACGATTAACACATACCTCCCATTGTTCCAATAATCTCTCTAAATCCGCTTCATTATAATCTCGAATATCCTTTTTGGCCCAAGCAGGTTTATCCTCATCTTTAAACTTTTTACACAATGTTAAATGGAACAATAATATGACTAAGTACAACAAAATATATCTCATTTTTACTTCAAAAATTGTATAATGAAAAAAAAATTTCTGCGACGTAAGTCTCGCAAGAAAAACACCACCGAACAGCACTTCTGCAACTTGCAGTTTTTAGAGGATGTGGGGGATGTGGTGCCACAACAGACGTACAACGAATTGAATCTCGAGATCAGCTTAATGCTCTGCCTCAGTGCTGCCCTCAAACAGTTGGCGACAAAACTACGTTTGACTACGTGTGGTAGGGGGAAAAGTGAAAATACTCTTGACCAATTAGATTGAATATTTGTGTGGTATTTTTGAATGTATCATTTTGCTGTAGTTTACTTCCTATTTATTTCACGATTACAAAGGAAGTTTAGGATAACATGCAGTGGTACTTGTCTAGAATGAAAATAGTATACAATAAAATACAAAATATACAATATAATACAATTTTATTGCAATTAAATCAAGACAAATATCAATACATACTAGCGTACCCGTGAGAGAACTCTCTCATTTTGATTTTTCCTATATGTATCGTGAAACTGAAACATTGGAGCATGTAGTCCCTTTCCATCGCAATTCCCTTCACAATTATGTACATAGCACTACACGTGGTACGTACAGACCGCGGCAACCGTTAAATGAATGATTGCATACACGCATAGAAAACAATCTTCAATCAACTATTAACTATCTTCTTGGTGTTGCTGCGAGAGCGAATCTTGAATTAATAATTATGAAAATAAACCTCGTCAGTCTGCGCAAACCACGCTGAAATACTTTTCTTGAACGATGACCTTGCTTCCCCCTCTCTGACACAATAAACAGTTGAGGGCAAAAACTCGCAGCGAGCACTGATAACATTCCATACACATCCACACTAGCGCGAAAAAATAAAAAAAAATCTTTTGAAAACGATAACTTCTATCCGTTATTTTATCCAAAAACCTAAAGAAATCACCAAGCAGATAAAGATATATCATAGGAGATACCTCGAACATCTCAGAATGTTAGAACGCGAATTATTGAGAATGCTGCGAAGGCGTGACTGATTCTTCAGAGATTGGCATTGCTTCATAAAATCTGGTGGTCGATTTCGTAACAAATACCCCCACTCTACCCACATTTCTTCAATCCATCGTTCAAGAAAAGTTGGGCGAGTAATATACAGAAAGCATAAATAGCCTATGATGGAGGAATCTAAGGCTTCTAAGCGTGACGTCATAAAAATGTCCACCAGCACCAAGGCAACACCGTCTCGATAGATCGAGACGGCCTTGAGCAAGGTCTGAAATATTGGTCTTGGAGAAATATATTCTGCATTCCTCCATGTATATGTGGTATTGGTAGTATCGATAAGCACCGAACCGGCAAAAATTTAATAAAATGTCCAAGTATATCTTATCTTGTAGATTACGGTATGAGGAACGTTTCATAGATGCATTTGGCCTCAATGTTTTAGTTTTTAAAGCCCGCTTAGGTTTTTAGAACGCTTAGTTTAGGATCTAATTAACGATATAGCTGATCCTATGTTGTGGGTTGCATTTGACTTGAATATATAGATGCAGATTTTTAAACAAATCCTTCATATGTTTTAAGTCAAAGGGGAGATTTGTCACATTTCCCTGAACGTCTCTTTAGAGACTTTATTTATAAATAATGGCTGCCCGTGAGAGCCGCAAAAGGCATGTATACTACTGAAATAATAAAGGAGACGATATTATTTACCTTAAAAAAATGTTTTACAATAATATTATAATCTAGTGTCATCAATAAAATTAGACACGCATTTAACTATAATATAAATATTCATGCTATAGTTCCAATTATTATTTAGTTACTTTAATTACTTATGAACATCAACGTCTAGATGTCTCAAACCGACATTGTATTATTAGAATATTGTATTCATGAAAATGCCCTTTAATACAGAGAAAGTACCTAATGAAAGTACCAAGAAATTTCAATAAAATATTTTGATCACTATTGCCTGCGTCAATAACAAATAATTTAAATATTTTAGTTCGGATGATAATAATGAAAAAATTGCACAATTCAAACCAGTAAGATTTTGTTTTTTACTTCTTAATTTTAGCAGTAGGATATAACATAGTAATGACTGTCGTTCACGAACTCAATTAAATGATGTTGGGGTCTGGTATAATCATATATAATTTGTTATTCTTGTTAACGGCTTTCCCACACCACGTCTCTACATCTCACCACATCTAGTATCACCATATCTAGTATTCGCATCACAGATCATTCTCGAATAATACGTCGCGGGAACACATTCAGTCCTCTAGTGGACCGCTAGGGTGCATTCCATATACATTACCATACAATACCATACATTATCATATAAATTACCATAAATCAAAAAGTAAAAATTATTTTTTTATTTCATCGTAAATGCAATTTTCTCTATAAAAAGTAATCAACTGACACAATCTTTTGTCCGCCTCCTCCAGAGAGAAAAATTCTAATGGTACCACTGATTTTAACCACAGAACAGTGGCGGCTCCTTCTTAGGTTGCACAACCTCCAAATAATCGAAAAATATCTTATATCTTAGGTATATACACTTTCCTTCTAAATTATATTCAATATTCAAGATTTGCATATATATATTGAAACCAAAGAGCGACCCTCACTCCAGCGTCTGGTGACTCCCAGGTATTACACCACGACGCTCTTGGCTCTTAGCTATATTACTGGGTTTACTTCCTGTCTGCATTTACTCTTTTGTCCTTCGCTTTAACACGGGAAACATATAGCCTTTGGTAACCCAACCAAATAGTTGGGGGTGTTATGGCCGAGCGCTGTGAGAGCTGCTCGGCGGCCGAAGAAGTCCGAGGAGAATACCAATATTCTGTCTTTGTCTACCTCTAGCTGAATCTTAATTTTATGAATTTCGCGTGTTATTGAAAGTAAATAAGCTAAGGCAATTAGCCAGTATTCAATGTATTGTTTATAATATTTAGAGAATATGTTTTCATTTGTTATTAAATCTTTGGTTTAAAACGCACATTTGATGAGTTGTTTGTGTAAAGTTGGCCGTTCTGGATGGAAGACCCTTTGTGTCTCGTTGAAGTCTGCCACAGGAGCTAGATTAGAAGTTCTTGTGAATACGTATGTGTGTAGAAGATCTTTAATTATTACAATATATACCAAGATAGGGAAGTTTTCGAAATATAATGTTATTTGTATAAAACGTGTCCAAACAATAGTGTTTGTGCAACACTTGAAATCAAAGTCACAACTTCATGAGCGGGAGGTGAATATACCTGACACGGACACTACGCATTAAAATATGTAAGTAATATTTGAAAACAGATTTTTATTAAACTTAGTTTTAATTAATGTACATGATTCGAACCCTAGGTCATCCAGGTCGTAGGCACTGAAGCGACATCAATTGATGCCCTGAGCCACCTATGCCGGCCGTAGTGAGCGCAACATCGAAAGTTTTTCAAGACCTTACGAGATCCAAATTAATGGCGACTCTTATGGCCACTTCAATTCACACCTTCTCTGGCTCTAGCCCGCATAAGGCTGTTACCGCTTGTCACGGGTTTCCTATACCAGTGGGATGGGCCACTAGATGAATTGGATCAACTAGCTGGGCCTTTAAGATGGGCCCGGTTTTACTTTTTTTCATACTGTGTGGACAATATACAAGAAAAAGTATTGTCTATCTGTCTGTACTTGTCGCGACAGCTCGTGAACGGACAAGAGCCTACCAGCAGCTTCTCGGCCGTGCAGCCATGGGTTAAGAGGGTACAGGTGGTTAGAAAATGAACTAAACCGCGAAAAAAAACACGAATTTTCGACAGAAAAATCTTATTGCTGGGTCGAAGTAACGAAAAAGTGGAAAATCTCGTTCCTGTACGAGGTAAATTACTTTCTCTAAACGGGGTTGAATGGGGAGGTCAAACGTCGCCCAAGGTCTCGGTGGAGTAGTTCAACCTTGTAAACTTACACCAGGAAGTACCGAGAAGCCCTGATGCAATATGATCGCAACTGTATGGCCGTAAAATTCCCCTGTAATAGGTTTGCTGTTGCGTCGCCGCACAAGTCTATTCTTTCACCTGCTAGCGGTGGCCTCCGGTCAGTAGCGTAACCAAGCTAGGTCGCCATTCATGCTGGGACAATGCGCTCCCGCGGCCGAGGCTTCGTTCGTAGGGGCCGCTGCCTATCAGTCGAAGCAGCACGACGGGGTCGTGGGCTGCAGACCCCCGATATCCTTCTCCCGTGACGTGGGGTCCCCAAAACGTTTTTTCTGTTCCGAGATTCCCTTCCCTTTGCTAGATGCTCTCACGTTAAGGCAGTCGCCTTTCGCCCGTCCCTTTCGGCTGCACCTCAAGTTGCAGAAATGAGAGCGGGCCCAGCCGCAAAACTTTTATCCGGTCCCCTTTATAAAAATAGAGTTAGTACCTTAAAAAATCAAAATATTCTCTTTTACCTGGGCCCGCCCGCATTGCAACGTTACGTCACTGCCCCCGGTAATGCATCTCGGGGCAACTTGAGGTGCTGCCGAGAGGCACAGGCGAAGGCGGGAAGGAGATCGGGGTCTGCATTTCACGACCCTGTCGTGCTGCTTCGAGTGATAGGCAGCGGATCCTACGAACGAAACCTCGGCCGCGGGAGCGCACCGTGGCGCGCCCTGCGAACAACAGGCCACCATGAATGGCGACCTAGCTTGGAGCCCGTGGTTAGGGTTCCCTTCGAGGCGAGTCGCTGCGCCCAGAAAGAGGATGGGTGGCTATATGGCTACCGATTTGAATAATATAGTTCGGCATCACGATACTATCCATTAGAGTCGGTCAAACCAGCAATATTTTCTCTCGTATCTCAAAGGAGCTGAGTCATATGTCCTCGCGGGATCGCCGAAGTGGTTGAATTGTTGGGTACGGGCCCAGCTCTTCGGAGGGAAGGTTGGCTTGTTCAAGACTTGGCAGGGAATAATTACTGGTGATAATTCTGTTGCCGCAGGAAATAATTGAGGATTCCACGAACTTCAGTAAAAACCTAACACGTGGTGTAGCCAGAATCCCTGTATTGTTGATTCTTGATATCGAAAATTCAATTGACGGCAAACCGTCCGTCTGTGGACAAATTACAAAAATTCAAGATAGAGGTTTTCGAAAGTGTAAAACTACAAAATTCAAAATAAGAGGTTTTTGGCTAAGCCAAAGTCTTTTGTACAAATATAGGTCTTTAAAAAAGGTCATGTTCATTTTTGTACAAGTTAATACTTTTTCATTTGCGCTTGAAATTTCCAAAAAACAAAAGAAAGAAAAAAAAACGTTTTCTCAAAAAGCGTTTCAATTTTTTCCTTTAAATTTTCTTCATATATGTAACAAGGTATGGTAAGAAATATGCTGCTAGACCCATTTTAGGGTATTGCTCGTTTTTTTCGAAAAATGCAAAATAATTTCAAAACTACATTATTGAAGAGATTTTTGCCTCAGAAAAAAGTTTGTTGTAGTAAATTAGCTATTTAAATAAATAAACAATAAATTAATGAACTAGTGATGTTCTAGAATATCACAGAGTTTTTACGTAAATTCACATGTTTTGTTAAATGTTAATTTACATTTTTTGGAGAAATTGTGACCTTTCTGCAGACTGAGAAATATGGGACACACAAGAAATCTGTAGTTCTTTCCATTCTTGTAAGAACTACTATTTAAAACCATTAAATTCAATAATCTTAATGAATGAATTTTACATTTTTCAATTCATGAACCAGTTTTCAGAAATAGAACTCTATTTATTGGTAAAGTGTGTGGGTGTTTTTTTTTAAACACGCAAAAATAATTAGCTCCAAATTTTGTCGCTTATCTTCTATTCTGTTTACTGTGAAAAGTAAATTCAGTCGCTAGTTTGTACTGCAATGGCACAACAGATACACAATAGCCTCACTTGGAAGAGCTGTCTCAGCGAGTGAACATGGTCAACAGAAATGTTCGGAGTGTGAGCTTGCTCAGTGTAAAGGGGTGGTATCATCCACCCCATGATCATCTGCCGAATGAACGAGCCTTCGTTCAGAATCACTTCTTCCCTCCCTTGCGCAGTGTAAATGCACCTGCAGGCTGCAGCCTGAGGCGCACACTTTTTGGGGAATTTCAGCAGATGCAAAATTTCATAATGCAAACTTTTGAATGTTTTTTACAGAAATATTTCACATTAATCAAATGTATATCCATTGATATGCAGATAAAATGGATACAAAAATATTGTTTATTTATTAATTAAATATTGTAGAAGGAATTACTGCAATCTACTCATTTCTTTAAATATTTGGTATTCTGTTTCAAGTAAAAGCAAATGAAACAAAAATAATTCATTCTAATAACACTTTGTTCCTTTGAAATCATACATCAAAAATGAAATTTTGTCTTCACTGTTTTATGTTAAAATTATTTGAAAAATGTTATAGTTTTCCAAATGCATTTCATGTTGCAGTGAACTGATGTGCATTACCTGATTTTATGTTTAAGGTTATTCATTTTCATTGAACAGAAGGGTTTATTCAATTTTTAAGGTAGGGCACAGACAATGAATAAAAAAACACAACATATAAAAGACTGGTTTGTATTCTAGTCATTCAGCTTCCTTCAAGTACTCTGAAATGATGAACTGTTTTCGAGTTCACACTTCAAGAAGAGTTGATGTTAGTGATTTACATAGGAATTTGACATAATTGATTTGTCAAACACTGTCTTAACATTTTCCTACACAAACATTAAAATGAAGTTTGTTTGCTGATAAATAAAATTTTTACATTATGCAATAATATGCAAAATTCTCAAAGACCATACGAAAATAACACACTTAACATGTGTCATTCTATCAACAATAATACAAGTACTCAAAACGATTCAGCATTGAGGTTAACAATAAAAAACTGAATACATCTATGTGATGTGTAATAATATTTAAAAAAATAATTTTCACCACCTGAATAAGAAATGTCAGTATCAAACATAAGATTAAAGTGCTGATATGAGATGCTGCTGCATAACATGGAGAAAGTACAAACGAGAATCTTATACTTTCATCACAAGTGCAGACAATGCATCCTTAGTGTTCATACAACATCCACAGGATAAACTTCATCCACAAATTTCCATCTCCCAATTTCAAACAAGCATTCACTACTTTCAAACATCAAATTGACAAGTAGTCATTTGGGAGAACATTTCTACTGATATATCTCTATTGCTAATAATTTGGGATGTAATTTTATGCTATATGACAGTATGAGATGATACACTGCTACTTTCCTTTAAATAGATCACAAAATGTATCTAGTGTGGTTTCCACAGCATCTGACATACAACTTTTGAAAATTATATTGCAAAAGAGAAAGAGAGAGAGAGAAAAAAGAAAAGAATTGACATTTTTATGAGCAACCTACCCAATTATCAAATTTCAACTATATCCCTACCATAACATTTTATTTCCTCTACAGCTTTACAGACTTTCTGAAGTTCAGGAGTAGAAGAATGTTTACAAATTTTTATTGAATAAATCATTGATGATCCTAATTGTGTGTTAGGAATTTGAGGTATCTAGTAATTTAGACATATTTATGCATTCAACATTAGAAAACTATGGATACAGTAACACGGGCTGCAGTCAATTAATACAAAACACTGTGGATGCAATATGGGCGTTAAGGACAGGAGAGTACCCTCTCCAAGAACCCTCTCTAGTATTAACTGTTTTCCACAAACAAGTGGTAGAAAAATGCTTAATGACTTAACAGAAATCTTTTCAACAAAATCCACACAGTTACAACTTTGAATAATATATCAAAATGCAATGTTTTTTGAATATCATAAGTTGCAACTTGTTTAACCCACTCTTTTGGTTTAGTATGCATGAGCAAAACACTAAGACTTCTCCCACTTGCATGACAGAAAACAGTAGAGAAATGCCCTAAATAATATGCTGAATAAACCACAGGCTCTCTCTTAACACTAAGGACAAAACATGGTCCTTGATCACACTTTTAGCATAGTTTATATGTACAGCAAGGAAGAGATGAAACTACAGCAGTGACCAGAAAAACATTAATTCCATTGGCAGACCATTTGCCTCAGCTTTTGAGGAAAAGAGACGCCAAAATCAGTATAGGAAAATAATAAAAAGTACCATATTTGTCCAAATACACATTCATCTCCAAAAAGTCAGTGTTGCAAGTTAACACAGTTTAGTGCAGTTTCAGAAGTACATCGCTTACTCACTAATACCATAAGAGATATTTTCATTTTTGCTCAGAGTTGTGCCACAAGTAATTTCTCATTTTGAGTAACACTGTGCTCAAGAAAACAATACTTTCTAAATTACCATAAGTTCGTTTCATGAGTTTAGATAGTTGTATGAGTGTATACAGTATATGAAAGTCAGTACTATCAATGTCACAGTATTTATAGATATGTAAAGATTAAAGGAAAAACAAAGAGATATGTGCTTTTAGAGTAAATCTTTATATCACTCTTTTGAAAAGTCTGCAACATTATGCTATCCACAACTGTCCATAAATCTCTCATCATACAACACAGTACTGTGCAATACAGAAAGAGCAGCACTGAAGTGCTAGAAACAGAACAAGAAAATAGACATGCATCCCAGTCAACACATCATAGATCCATCATGTACATAAACATATTTACATTGATCTGGTTTACGTATAACAATATGAATGCGAGTTGTTTTTATAACTAAAGAATGATTATTAATACACCTTTCCTCACATTTTTTTCACAGATATGTAATGTTATGATGTGTTTGGATTCCTACTTATTTTACCTAACTCATACATAATGATACATTATTTTTGAAAGTTGCATTTAAATGTGTGATATGATTTTCATTGTGCTATGTTATGCTTGTGATGCAAGATTTCATTGAAGACTGAAGATTATCACTTCTTCATTCACTGTTCATCACTAGCAGATGCTTGCTCTTCATCAGTCATGACAGTTACTAGCTCACCAACTGCTCTTCCAAGATCCCCTGGAAGACACAATAAAGAACAATAATGAATTCAAGAATAATAATTTTAACAAAGTATAAACTAATCATGATTAAACTGACTTGTATCTAAAATGTAAATGGCAATTGGAAAAATTTCAATCACAAAATAATCATCGCAGTCATATGGTACCAATAAATATGTGTGTGTTTATAGATATACTTGATATGTACATGTGTGGGTATATATTGTTTGTTTATATATAATTGCACTCATTGACTTTAATGTAATATAATACAATGCAATTCTTAACTTGAAAGACAAATAATAATTATGAAATACTGAAGTAAGTGAACAAAATATTAATAGCACTTGCAAGGACAAAAAGTGTAATAAGGACTGTGTACTACTTTATCTATGAGTGCTAAAAAGAAAAAAAAATGAATTTCTCCTTCGAAAACAAAAACTTATAACTCTCCCAATTAATTACTGAAAGAATAGAATAGAATAGAAAAATAACAAAAAATTAATAAAATTATAATTCGTGTCTATTTATAGCATTTTATAAAGATGTATGCTTCATGTCAAATATTTGCAACACTGTCTTGTAGTGATTGATAAAAAAGCAATACAAAAGAGAAGAGGAATCACCGTATTTAAAAATGTAAAACAACTAACCTAAATCCTGCCAGCTGCTGCAACAGTGAAAATCAATATATCAGTGATAAAAAGGTTTCAAAACGTTCAAACATACCATAAAATACAAGTTAACAGAGGATTGAATTTCAAGCAACAATTATTCTCATTAAATTAGAATTAACCAAACACTAAGCACTATTAAAAAGAAACTAATGAAATAAATCCAGAACATTTTTCTGCATGCTTTTTAGATTTTTTTATGAGCTTGTTTCATTCTTCATGTTATTTTAAAATAAAAGTTAAAAGGATTTTTTGGACATACTGTAATTGGTAAATCAAAAAACTACGGTACATGCACACCCAATACAAAATTCCAGGCAAATCATGCACTGATACTCCAAAAACAAAGGCATTAAATAAAAAGTGATGGAAGGAAAAATCATGAAAAAATGTCCTTCATTGTAAATGGGATTTTCAGTTCATTTACATTGATTTGCATCTAATACTCATGAAACAACGAAGCCATAATGCTTCAAAGCCACTTCATAATGCAGCACCACACCAAAATACTTGAGGCAATGAACTAAACAATTATTTTAGTGTATTTGTTTTAGTAATTTAGTTTACATAAATTTAATCCACAATGCTGGAAGGAAAGAAAAAAGAAAAGGAAAGAGAGAAGGGAATACAAAAGGAAGGAAGGAAAAACAAAGAAAGAAAGAAAGAAGGAAGGTAATAAAATAGAAAGGAAAGTCAGAAAGATATCATTATTTTATTCCCTCTCACTTTAGTTTATATTTCTGTGTTAATACAGAAATTACATTATTTTTACTTGTATAATTATTTCACATAAAGTTACTAAATGCAGTTCTTTCAAGGTGTAAGAAAAATTAAAGAGGAAACTTTTATAGATAATATTTTGGGACATTAAATATCTGATGCAAAACAGCAAACAAAACTAAAGTAATATCATTCCTTCACCCACCTGCCATGTGCATTAAGTTGCCAATGTTTTGCTGGGCAGAAGCCTGGCTGGAGCCAGCGGCTGCCTGCCCACTAGCACTATTGCTGGCAGAGACAAGAGCAGGAGGAGGCGGAGGGCGGCCATCAGAAGTACGCTCAAGGCTGCTTCTAGCACCTACAGGACCATCCACCCAGCGCCCGCCTGAAACCGGAACCCACACTCCATGCATGCACCAAACACCACAAAACTAAGCATAAACAATCCAGATGGTTTAAACATGCAACACCAGAAAAAAGGAATTTCTTCTTTGCAGAATATTTCACTACTTTGAAATGTAAGTGGCAATTAAGAAATCAAAATATAAATACTAATTATTTAAAAATAAGAAATATTAAGAAATACAATAACAAGAATACGAATAAAAAAGAAATATAGTGATTATTAAAGATACAACTGGTTTTACAAGTAATAGTTGTCTTTTATTACAACGTTTCTCGGTATTAAAATGAATAAAAATATTTCTTTGTCCACACCTAAAGCTTGAAAATTATTCAAACTATGAATATCTGTAATTAAAATACATTTATGACTCTCAAATTAATGTATTTAATCCTTATAATCACAGTGGCAACAGAATGTGACATTAACAATAATGTCAATTCAATGTGTATGTGCACAGGCATCCACTGCAGAAAATTCAGATGTATCAAACTTGCACCAAAATATAAAATTGGAAATTCATGAAGAAGCACTTCAGGTGATGTAAAGAGATAAAGAGTTCATAATAGGAAACTTATCACTAAAACAAAGGCATCGATAAAGGTACAAACTTTTTGAAAAACACAGCCCAAAATAATGCCAAGCCAAGCAACAACAAAAAAGGAGCAATAAAAGTGGAACACAGAATTTTGAATGAAAAGAAAACTCTAAAAAGTTGAAGCCATTACAAAACAAAATACAAGTGCCTAAAAAGTGCCAACAAGAACCTAAAAGTAAAGCGTTCTTGAATTACATGTGTAATAGTCAACAGTTTTCCATCATTCAATCCTATTAAGCAAAAATTAAATTTACACTTTGTTCTAAAATATATTTCCCATTTTTTAAATGTCAATTAACCAGTGTACGCTCAAAATTGTGAATCTGAAGGGGAAAAAGAAAAATTTTGAGTTACTGCATATTTTTATCTCATAATGAGATTTCAATTGACAAATTTAAAGCATTCCACAATATGGTGATAAAGGTGTGTCTTGAATATAAAGGTGAATAAAAGAAGAAATGAACTGAAAATAATTGAGATATAACATTTCAAGTTTTTTAAACAGTAGTTAAATATTTTTGATTTTAAGATATGAATTCAATCTTGTAGCCTATGACTTTGTTATTAGTAGTGTAGTCAGTGGGGAACAGGAGGAGCGGTCACTCTCCATAAATAAATTTTAATAGGTGCCTTTTATAATTCACTAAGTATCTTTTTTAAAGTCATTTGAAATATGCTTTCATGAAAATGCCTTATATTATGAATTATATAAGAACATGGTTGACAATTTTTGTCACATGGTACTATTGTAAATGAAACAACAAAGATTCAGAAGCTTTTGGCTTTGCACAGAGTAGTCACTTCAAATTTCGGAACAAATTAATTGCACGCCCATTCCTCAGTGATTTTTTAATAGCTGAGTATGATTACAAATATCAAGATTGAGGTTATTGTGATAATATGCATTGCATGAATGGAATTTATAATTACTGTGTGCACTAATTATATTTGTATTGCAACTTCCTACTTATTATTTGTCACTGCAAAGTAGAGTGCACAGTATGTGGAAATGATATCTTCCTTCACATCCAACTATCAGCTACTTTCTTATTTCATTCGGACCTTAATTTTAAAAATTAAACTTAAATCAGGTCAGAGTCTGTAAAGGCAGCTCCACACATTTGGTTTTTGGTGAGTTGCAAACAACCGCTTGCCAAATCTCGTGAAGTGTGGATGGGTTACTTGCTATTTGCCGAGTGTTGACGAATGTTCAGTGCTCATCCTACCCACCGTGTTGGTCTTTTGGAAATACCAAAGTAAGCAAACATTTGCAGCTGAACATCAACTGCTTAGTATTGAGCGAGCAATAGTTAGCCATTTGGCAAATGGCAAATGTATGGAGTCGCGTTAAGGCTCTGTAACCCAGCCAACTACATAAATTAGAACAGGTAAAAAAATATGAGAAACAAAATAACCTGTCTAATAAAAAAACTGCTGTTAACTCAAGTGTCCAATCATTCAAATTTGCTGGGCTTGCGAGTCAATATTCAAATATATATTCTAAAAAGTTTAAGTAAAGGCTACCATTTTGACTGCACATTATTTTCCAGAATAATTACATATAAATACAAAAATTAATACCTCAATAACTTTGTTATTTTAAAATATTAATATGTCTGAAAATCAATTGTAAATTATCAGTTTTCTGTTTAAAGACATAAGTGTGGGTTCAAAAAGAATATAAAATCATAACATAGACAAAATATATGAATCTGTCACTTCAGTGATTTAAATATAACATAGCATGATCAATTGTATTAATAATAAGAAATACTGAAGATGTCGTCATAGGTTTATATTTTATAAAATATGTTACAGGGCATGGTAACAAATTCCCAAGACAGAAATTATTAAAAATCTACTTTTAATTTAATGATTATAATATGTTTAGTATCCTCACTCACTTCGTTCACTTCTCTCTTGCCCTAAAGAATTTTCTACAATTATTTTGTAACCTATTCCTGCAATAACAGACCCTGCATGATAATTGTGGTACTATCACTATTGAGAGTATCAGTTTCTGAAAGATCATAGGTACATCACTGAACAAGTGATGGAAATGGGCCATGGACTACATGAAATTCTTACTTTCCAAACCTTAGGACTGAGCAACTGAGACTCCATCCTCTCTTATTTCATCCCCCATTGATCAAAAAATCTCACGTGTTGGAGATCAGGATGCAGCAAGGTGTATGGCCCCTGAGACTCCATGTTAGGGACTGAGATACAGCAAAAAAAGAAAGCATAAATTTAGTTTCTAAAAATTTTCTTACCTCCAGCATCATGGTAGTGGCCATTCAATTTAGCTGGAGAATCAGTAGCCAGTTGAGAAGCAGTGACTGAACGAGTCTGCAGTGTCCCAGTCTTTGATGGGGATCCAGAACCCGGCTGGAAAATATAAGAGCATTGAAAATGAATTCATCATTAGCAAGTACTCAATTATTATGGAAAAATTAACAAAGAAGTTCTTCCTTTTCTGTTTTGTTTCCATGGAGGACATTTTTCATTTTAAAAATGTCAGTTCTTTTCTAATTATTAATGGGTGACTTTATCACTCAGGAAAATTTAATTGACTTGTAAATTTTTAGTGATGATAAGAGACAAAGCGCAGTAAGAGAGAGTTTAGGGATTGTGGAACTGAAGAAGATATATGCAGGGGGAGTGCATTTGCTTATATCTTATTTGACTAATCATACATGATTGAAATTGTATGTGTGACTCAATTAATATTATTATTATACAATTTACTTACAATCTTGCCTGAAATTGTAGATTGTAAAGGAAACTTACATCATCGTGAAGCACTTTTGTAAGATGATTTTTAATGAAAGAAATGATAATTTTAAAAGGATGTGGATGAGAAATTGGAGGTAGTGACTAATTTTATGAGAAGTAAAGTGTTCAATTACCTCATCCAACAGTTGTCGGAGACGTTGTAGTTGTGCCTCCAATTGTCGATTGTGATCTTCTAGAATCTGCATTCGTGCTTCCAAACGACCTTTATGTTGGCGAAGTAGCCGAGCTTCAGCCAACATGTCAACATCTGCACCAGGTGCCCTGCCAGTGGGAACTGCACCTGCCGAGTCTTCAGGCGTAGAGCCTGGTGTCTGTTTAGCTCGCAGTCTGTCATATTCTGCTTGGAGGGAAGCATTCTCTTCTTCCAGTTCCCTATTTCAAGACATACAAATAATTATGATGTGCATGTAATATGAAAATATGCATATGATTTCAAGAACATTCTTATCTTGTATTGTAATAAAAGAATAGCTGAATGGAGTAATGAATGAGCTAAAGGAGAAATCAGAGAGAGAGAGTAAAGAAAGAAAGAGGAGAAAGAATAAAACAAAATATCAAAAGTAACCTGATCATGGCTTCAAGTTCCTCCCGTTGTTCAGCATCAATCGCCACCATGATCTGCACTGGAGACCTTGGCACAGACCCTCCTGCGGCGTCTGCCGGAGGGGCTCCGTTCAGGGACTGGCAATACTGCGCAATCAGCTGATGCTCCTCATCCCTTTGACACAAAACAGAACAACATTTCACTAAAACCCAAATTGTTCGATACTCTCACAATCTTTCTTATAAAAACAGTTTATTTTTTGAATTAAAATTAACATTAAACTTGTAAGGAAATAATGCAAGTTGCATGATTCCTTATGTCAATAAAGAAAGCATAAAGTGTAAAGTAACAATCTTCTAGTTGTCTAATTTTCATTCAACTTTTTAACTGCTGAGAAATATAAAGAATGCATTATAACCCTTAACAATATTTAACCTTTTAACTATATTACAATGATTGGAAAACCAACGATACTCCAAACTAAGAACACATACATAAATAACAACTAAAAACATTTACATACTGAGCTTTTTTATAAAACCCATACTATAATGATACCTAACATCGAAAGCATATTAATACTTCTGCACATTTTGTCCAAGCACTTCTCGAAAACATATGTACACAAACATGCTCCAATACTAATATATGTAAAGTGAAAGGACATTTACAAGTGAAGATCATTTAGCTTAACATAATAGAACAGCAGTAAATACTCAGAAGTACACACCCAAGGACAAGGTCCACAAAAAAGTTGATACACAAAGCACAATTTTTTTAAGTAGCAATTTGTTTTCTTCTTAAAGATGTTTATCAACAATGTTTTTAATGCTATTCAGTGTTGCAGGCATTGAAGAATTCTTTTACTTATTGAGGTATGGCTTAAGAAATGGATATCTGATTTATTTGTTGTGTTGCTGAATATTTCAGAATGTACTTTTCTAACTTTCTGAAATGGTTTGAAAACCTTCATTGTCCAAGATAGACATATAATAACAACAATTAATATTTAGGATGGATCACCTAAGGTGGCCACAGAGAATACCTTCAAAATGATATTTGAAGCAAGTAGCCATGTTCTAAATGGACACAGATTTTTCCACTACCACTGTACAGTTCTCAAAAAGAGGAATACAATGATATAGTTATAGTTAATATTCGGAAAGATATTGTAGAAAAAACTTCATTAGTAAACTTCAAAGTTCATTTCAATATTGCTGTAATGTTGTAATATAAATAACTTTACTTATTCATATTATTTTCTTGCATTAATCTCCTTACTCACACGCATTTGTATTGGCTTAAAGCAAAATCCACTAATTATTTGTTTACAACTCAAGTAAGAGAGAATAAAATGTGTTTTCTTATTACACAATGAAATGCATTTGTTGGTGAATCAATTGAGATCAAAGGAAACCAATTAAATTCACATTACTTGGACTCACCTACATGCATTAGAAGCAAATTGCTTTGATTCATTAAAATGTACTTCTGTTTACAAATCAAAATTACGTTCTTTGACATTAATTTTACAAACAAGAAAACAAAATATGTGATTTCCCTCCCATCATTTACAACAACTTGGAACAAGTTGCATCCTGATATCTTAAACGTTTTCAAAGATTTTGCTGTGGTCAACCTGTGGTTCACCGTGATATAAAACATGCTTCACTGAGAACTGACGAATTTTGAATTTGAGAGCAATAAGAACATTTTTATATTTTACAGGAATTATTAAGTGGTAAAAGAGTCATTTTACTTGTTCTGTACCTACCATATCCTTATTTAACATACCAAAATAAATATATATATATATATATATATATAT